GATGCTGAGAACATTTTTATTCCTGTTGGCCATTTGTATGTGTTTTTGGGGAAACTTTCTCTTCTGCGGGTCATTTGCCTGTTTTTAAATCAAGGTTGTGTTTTTTTGTTTGTTTATCTTTTGCTATTAAGTTTGTTATTGACTTTTATATTTTCAGTATGAACTCCTTATGAGATATACCGTTTGCAAATATTTTATTTGAATTCCTAGGTTACCTATCAATGTCCTGATTGCTTTCTTGCCATGTACAAACTTTTCAGTCTGATGTAGTCATACTTTTTTTCATACTTAAGTTGTCTCTTCTTTTGTTGTTATATTAAAAAATTATTGCCACAGTCAATGTCAAAGTTGTTTTCTTGCACATATTCTTCTGGAAGTTTTAAGGGCTCAGACCCTATATTAACATCTTTAACCCATTCTAAGTAATTTCTTGTATATTGTATAAGAAAGGGGTCAAATTTAATTTTTTAATACCAAAATATGGTATCACAGGGTACTATGTATCATATTTGTTACCAGGGATCAAACTCAGGACCTTGCATTTGCGAAGCAGGTGCAGTGCCACTGAGCTAAATACCTGTCCCACTTATCATTATTCTTGAAGAGAGTTTCCCCCGCTGATTAGTCTTGGTTTCCTAGTCAAGGGTTAGTTGACTCTAATTGTATGGGTTTATATTTGTTCCATTGGTTAAAGTGTTGTTTTATAATAGTGTACTATTATTTATTTATAATAGCCTACTATTTTTACTATAATAATTTTCTCATATAGTTTGAAATTGGAAAGTTTGATTCCTCCAAATTTGTTCTTTGCAAATATTGATATGGCTGTTTGAAGTCTTTTTCGGTTCCCTATGAATGTCGGGATTTTTTTCCTATTTCTTTGCAAAATGCCATTGGAAATTTGGTAGAGATTGCAGTGAATCTGTAGATCATGTCAAATGGTATAGGTATTTTTGATGTTAATGCCACTCTCTGTGACAGAATCTGTTCTTAGGAACTAACCTGCACCTTTCTGCATTGAACTTTGTTCTCCAACACAATCTGCCTTTCTTCACATTAAACTGCTACTAGGGAATTTTTTCTTTTCTAAACAGATGAAATGGGTCAGTCATTCCTGTCAGCCTTTCCTAATCTTAAAACTCTGGGAAAAGTCACACTCCTTTCATGTTACTACATCTCTTTCTCTGTAGAATCTTTTTATGACCTCATCTTCATGCTGTGTATACTAAAGGAATGAGCAGCTTTTATTTATTTATTTTTTCTTTTAAGTTTATTGGTACATTTAAAGCAAACAATACAGTTACATTTCTCATTGGGATCTTGTACCTTTACATGATATTTCTTGATTTTTATTTTTTCCCCATACTCCTGCCCTCCTTTTACACTTTTATTAAAGCACATAAAACATTAAAAAATTCTCTTTATATGCTCCTTTCCAGACAAGATCTATTTAAAAATATTTTTCTTTCAATGAAACCTCCTTAAGTCTTAAATTCTGCACCAGAATAAACTCCAAATTCTGGGTAATCTATTCTGTTCTATTGAGGTGCAACATCATAGTATGTTTCAATTTTTTAATAAGGTTTAGCTTGTATACATGTGTTTGTGTATTTACACTAATACATAATGCTTTAAAACATTTTCATTAGGTAAACCTATGCAATACACAGTTGATGTTCCTATGTATTTAAAGAATAATTCAGTTTGCTATAGAATGTTATGTCTGATTGGAGAGATAAAATCACCAAAGATAAGATTTGATCCACCATTTATATTTTTTACTCCTGTTCCTTTGGATGTAACAACTGTAATGGATGTCAAAATTTTACCCCAAAATTATTTCAGGTAAATATTTAATGTGATTTTGCCACATTTTCTTTATATGCTATTTTATTTGTGTGTGTGTGTGTGTGTGTTATATGAATTTTGTATATAACGGCTGGTTTGTTTCTATCAGTTATTTATTTATTTATTTATTTATTTATTTGGTATGGGGTATCGAACTTGGGACCTTGTGCTTCCGAGGCAGGTGGTGGCACCATTGAGCTAAGTCCCTGCCTCTGTTACTATCTTTTTAAAGACTACTAAGTATATAATTATACACTGACATTATAAAATATAAAAATGCTCTCTTAGTTATCTATAGTTAGTCCTTATATTTTTAAAAAGAAAATGTTGATGTGTTTCTTTGTGGAATAAGCAACAAGCTTAAATTTTCAATTGTCATATGACAAATTATCACACACTTATTGCCTTAAAACATACATTTGACAACTCACATACTGTGAATTTATTATCTTGAAGTTTCTGTCAGTTCAGAGTCCCAGATAGCTTAGTATCACCTTCCTTTCAGTGTCTCAACAGGCAGAAATTAAGCTCTAGCATCAGTCTAAGTCACAATCTTCCTTCCAGATCTTGCCTTTATATGACTGAGGCATCACTTTTGGCAGGGGACAATCTCAACTCACTCTGAAGTCCTAGCTGCATAGTTATATCATAACATAGTATCTTATATCATTCAGGTCTCAAAGTATATAGTTTACCGGCCTTGTCTCTCACTGACCTTTAAACTTTCTTTAAGATCTCATCTGATTAAATCAAACATATCCATAATAGTTTCCTTTTTGCTATACCCAAAGTGAATTTTATTAGGAAACATAATTACATCTAGAATGCACCTTTACCATTCATTGCCGTATAATTGAACTAAATTACAAAAGTTATATCCCATCATATTTAAAGGTCTTTGTCTTATTCAATCTGTTTTCAGCTCTTTAGATTTATAAAATGCTCAAATTCCCAATATGGAAGAAACTATAACTGAGTCAGGAGATATAGCTATCATGAAATTTAGACTTAAGATTTCAGATATTATAAATATGTAAAACAGAGTATAAATAAAATTATTTTTACATAAAAGATGAAAATACAAAGTTGGTAACTAATGTGGGATTATGAAATAATATATTTGCAGAAAGTCAAATATAACTTTTAAAATTTTTTAAATAGCTTGTACGGTAAAAGTTTACAAGCATCCATTAATTCTAAGAATATACCGAACTACACAAACAGTACAGCAATAAGCAAAACCTCAAATAACTTTAAAAACATTTTCAACAGATATATTCGATTTATTTTATTAAAACTTCAGTAAGTTTCAAGTAAAGCTTTTCATTTAAATTGACATGTAAAGTACAAAGTTTTATTTGGAAGAGTTAAGAGTCTTCGAATAGCCACACTATGTCTAAGGAAGAAAAATAAACCTTACCAAATATTAGGATTGAGCCATTGTGATAGTAGTGCAAAAAGATGAAATGACCGAAGGAATAGAATACAGAGTCATGTAAAAGGCCCATACCTGAATGAATACTAGATCTATAATCCAGGTGGTATTGCATACTTTAGAGAAAATAGGTTGTTGTTCAGTAAATAATTTAGGTCAATGGAATATTTGACTGGGATACAGTATTTCAAAATTGATCCATATTTCATAGAATCCATTTGGAGTGATATGAAAGCTTAAATATATATGTAAATAGCAAAATGTAAAATGAAATACAAAAGCTATTTCAAATTTCAATAGCTAGAAAAGGATTTTTTTGGGATACAAAATCATGTTCACAAATGCATGACTAAAAAATACAAATGGCTGATTAAAAATTAATCAGACATCTAAGAAATAATGCAGTGGAAGTACTAAGAAAATTATGAATAGGTATTCCATCAAAGTTTATTCATAGAGGAAAGAGAAACAGTAAAACATATCATTGAAATAGCCAGGCACTGTGATATGTACCTGTAATCCCAGCACTGGGGAAGCTGAATTAGGAGGATCACCATAAGTTCAAGACCATCCTAGCCACTTAGTGAATTCCAAAAATATATTTGGAATTATATTTGATTTTTTTATAAATTTTGAAATAAGATTTAATTTTACCTATCCTAGGTAGGAAAAATTAAAAGCCTGATAAATTGATAGTGTCAACGAGTACAGTCTCATCAGATAAAACTTTATGAAGTACGATGTTTGCTATCTCATAGTCCAACAATTCCACTTCAATATAGCTGGAAAAAATTCTTTCCCTCTCAACCCCAAGCTGTGGTTAGGATTATTCATTGTAGTATTTTTCATAATAGCAACATATGGGAACTGTACCAAATTCCTAACAGGTGAACAGATAATTTGCTATATATGAGTAAAATATATATATATTTTTTTTCTACAGTTGTGAAGTAGATGAATTTCAACTAGTAAGCCAATGGTGTCACCAATTTTAGAAACAAAATACTGAATTAAACATTGTATAAGGGTGAGAATGCTGATATTCCTGATTATCTTTCCTATAAAACCAAAAAGTTAAGCTTATTTGTTGAGAAATCTACAACTATCTATAAATATAAAGAAAATTAAAGAGTAGCTAGCTGACCTGTTAAAATTGTATAGATTGTGAGAATTTATATATTGATATTATTTGCCTATAAGCATTAATCTTGTAACCTATTAGACTGTTTAGCCGCTTTAAAACTTTAGTCCTCATTTTACAGTTAAGACTCAGATCGAGACAGCAAAACCTGATGATGATATAATGGCCAGAAATAAATTTTATACAGGTTGAAGAGACTAGTAGTGCACACTTGACTTTCTAACACTTGGAACATAATATACAATATTAATATTGTATAATAATGCATCTATTAATATCATTTAGTGTATATACACTAAATGTGTAACTATTAAAGTGATATTCTTTGTAAGTTCTTGTCAGAATATATTTTAAGAATAATATTTATGTCTTAGTCATGACTAAAAACACATAATCAGTTATTTTATTTATGTTTTAATCCTTACAGAACAAAAGAAACATTGAATCACCTCAGGTGTTCTTGGGTAAATTAATATATTATCAGTCTTATACTGTGAAGAAAAATAATGTGATACAAAGATATGTTTAATAATTGAGCATTTATTGGAAATATTTGTTGTTTAATCTAGAAATTATTTAAAATAAAAAGTACATATTGAAATTCTATTACTTCCTGGTATTTTGAGCTAAACCCTTTTTTTCTTTTGTTTTAAACAGAAATTCAACTCTAAATTTCCATATTCCCACAGTAAGGCTTCTCAATGATGATGAACAAATTCAGCCACTTTCTGTGACTTTCTCAAAAGACCAAATCATCGTAGGCTCTAAGCGTGGAAATAATAAAGAACTTACTTTCCACCTCAGTTTCAAATCACCTAAACCTGTTTCATTTTTCAACAATCTTTGTTTCTATGATGACAGTGGTAACTGGTAAGATATTTAAATGTTGATTCTTTTGTACTTGAAAGTGAAGAATAGTGAGTTTACATTCTACAACATTGTAAAATGTTAAAAGGAGAGACATCAAATATAATTACTTTGGACATACAATATTTTTTGGTTCTAGATCCCAGTTGCTGTCATAAGAAACAGCATAAACAGTGGACTGGTATTTAGAGCTAGGCTATTTATCATCAAATCCTGGCTTGTGAGCTTTACTTCCAAGCCTCTGCATTTTCTTATCTGTAAAATGGTGTGGTGATATGGACAAGATTATTTCAAGCAGTAAAACAGTATGAGGTATGCAGTCTGAACCAGTAGTTTGATGGTATTTTTGGTACTTTGGTTTAATAGATTCTGATAAGACACAGCTGGGAAATGAAGCTGCATGACAACAGTAGAATCGTGGACATTTTTATATGAGCATACTTTTTTGAGAATCCTATCATGTCATAAATAGACTTTCCAAAGAACAAGAAAAGACATTCTATTTTCTTTCTTTCCTGCTTTGCATGTGTTTCTTGCTCCTTCCTGTCACTCTCTCACACACACACAATTCCATGCTTGATACAAGATATCAAGTAATTGCAAGAAATTAGAGCCTACTCAATGAAAATAGGAATATTATTCATTTTCATTTATTAGTAAAGCAATTTATTTAAATGATGGTAAACTCAAGAATTATTTCTATGGTTATAGCACAAATCAAGTCAATTTTTTTTGGTACCAGGGATTAAACTCAGGACCTTGCACTTGCAAGGTAGGCATGGTGCCACTGAGCTAAATCCCCGACCCTCAAGTAAATGTTAGTGCTTTTATTGGAAAAGCTGAGGTTACAGCTTCCATCAGCAACTGTATACATAATTGTTACTTAAAATAAGTTTGTTATATATGGATACTTGAAATTAAATATCGTAACATAAATGTAGTACATAAAATAAATGTATTACACTGAAATTCACTAAGAAAACAACTTTAACTGCTCTCCTAAAATGCATTTGTTATAAAAATTAAAACATTTTACAGAAATACTCAATCATATATTTATTATGGAAAAATATGCATTGTTTGGTAAGAACAGTTTTATGTGGAATTTTGTATACATTTATAAAATATTTTAGTCTTTAGGAATGGTTTTTGAGCAATCCAAAGAATGAAAGCAGCAATAAAATATAATTTCTCTCATTGCTGTTTTACGTATGAGCCTCTCTTCTAGTTTTTTTTTTGTGTTTGTGTGTGTTGTTATATATTCAGGATTTTTTGTTCTTGACTTTCCTTTTAGCATAGGAAGTAATACTGTAGAAGAGAGGAGACAGGGAGAGAAAAGAGGGAAATAAAGGAGGAATACACACAGCTGTTAATTACCTGAGTGAAATGGTTTGAGTATCTTAGAATATTTGTTTTTTGTATTCTTTTATTTGGAATTGAAATTTTAGTTTGTGTTTTTGTCTTCATGCACCAAATAACTTAGTTTATAATTACCTTAAAATCATTTTGAGCTACAAGATTTCAATAGGCAATCCTCTAAAATAAGGAAGTGACTTTTGAAATAGCCACCAGAATGAGATAGCAGGAATTGCCATGCACATATAGTATTTTTCAGGGGCCATTCAAAGAAATATTTTGCAATGAAGTAGGAGCTTTTAACTGCTGATAAGTTGAGTGAAAATGGTAATATTGTCAAGTTACCCATAGATTCCTCCTAAAAAGTGAAATCAACAATATTAAGTAAGGACAAAAAGTAAAATTACTAAGGAGACAGTATTGTTTTGGAAATTATACTATGCCTATAATTGTAGGTACTTTGATAAAGTAATAAACATTTAAATTGGAGCTGGATAATAAGAATGTGCTAATATTTAATTTGGCACAGGTCAAAGTCAAGGATGATCATGAATTATTTAAAACAAATTTTCTCTTTGGCACTTTAACACTTTTCTCAAATATCTATCTGACATTCTGAGCAAAAATTGAAGCATACATTTACTAATTGTACAAAAATATATTAAATTTCTACCATGTGACAGACACTATTCTAAGCACTGGAGGTTATATGGGGAATCAAAACATGAATGAGTTTTACCCATGGAACTTAGAATATGAGGGAAACAGACAAAAAAGATGATAAGAATGTATTTGTGGAAAAGAGGAGGGTGTAAACAACTGAGCCTCTCTGAGATTTGGAATTCAGGCACTGGAAAGTAAAAACTTGGGGAAGAACGAAAGGGAGAAGTAGATCCCCAGGAACCAGGAAAATTAAAACTCACAGAGAAGTTGAAGAGACAGACCACAACATGGAGAATGAAAAGACAACCTGCACTTTCTCCCTGGGCCTGAGTTCATGGCTCATGGAAAAGGGAGACCAAATCTACACAGACAAAGTGAAAGCTGGACACCCCAGGGGCCTTCAGGGCGAAGTGGTAGTGGAGTGGACTGGAAAGTGCTGTGAGCTGCAAGGGCAGTGTAGGTTTCTGCTCACATGTGAGTCCAACAGGTGACAGCTAGTCAGTGACTCTAGTCCTAGCACCTGCTATATCCCTGGAGAGTGTCAGGTTGGACACCTTTTCAGGAAAGGGTTGGTTGTTTGATCCTGGGACACAGAGCAGAGGTGCGATGGTTTCACTTCTAGGCTCCCAGTGTTATGTTCCCAAGGTGACTGGTCAAGAAACAGCCACTGTAGACAGTTGTGGTCTTGAAGCTGAGGTCAGGCTGGAAAGGGACCTTCTATGGGATTGAGCTAAAGGATCCCAGGCCCTGCCCCCATCAGAAGAGGCCGTACTTAGCCTGAATTGCTCAGGTTTGAAAGTTGTGGTATTAGCACACTTGCACCGATCCTATTGCCTGCTAGTTTCTGCATCCACCATGGATCTGCAGTCTGCCTTCTTTATTTACCAGCACAAGTAGGGACACATCTTGACTTGAACACTGCTTCAAACTTATAGATCGCAGAAGACATCCACACATTGGGAATCACACAGAAATTTTAGTTTTTTTTTTATTTATTTGTTTTTGTTTTGGGTGGTGGCTTATTTCCTTTTTTTGTTAGTGTGTGGGTGTGCTGTTTTTAATTTTATTTTTCTTCTTTTTTATTTCATTTTCTCCTTTCCTCACCAGGTTATTGGGGATTTGAGAATTTTTGTTTGTACTTTTTATCTCTTTATCTTCTTTTTATATTTTTAACTCTTCTCCCTGTTAATTTTTCTCCTTGTATTTTTTATTATATTTACTTCTGATATAATTTTTTATCTCCCTCTTTTTCTTTTATCTTGTATTTCTTGTCAGTTTTTTCTCTTATCATTACCTGTTTCTATAAAGATTCTTCTATTCCCCAATAAAATCTTTTTTAGCACTTCTCTATCCTCCTCACATAAAGTTTTAAAATTTTCCCCTTGCATTCCCCCCTTTCAAAACCCTATATATTTAATAATATAATCATGAAACTTGATGAATATTTTCACTGAACTATACAACTACTTTTGAATCTTTTTCTACAATTAACAGATATTTAGCCATTGCATTCCATATATATATGTATTAGCTTTAAATCAATGGTTAGATTGTTAATGTTTACATCACAATTGTGGATTTCTTCTGTAGAGTTAAGGATTGCATGTAATTGGCTCTTATGGTATGTTAATATCCAATTTGACTTGGATAATACAACTGTGGCTGATTTGCTTAATATTACCAGAGTCACATACAGTTTTATCTCAGTTGTCAGTGGCTCCATGCTCAATCTGCTCACTACTCAAACTGGAAAATTTGAAAAAAAAATCTGCTCAGTGTTCATAACTTTGCCACAGTCAGACCAAAAAGGCCTATATGAGCCCAGAGTAAGTCACATGCCTTGTCTCACCATGGAAACAAAGGGGCGGTGCTTCAGCCTAAGTGCCCCTCTCACCCAGACAACATATGATGCTTGTTAGTGAATTAAAACATTTGTCATTGTTCTTTTTTTTCACACTTTGTGTAAAATATAACCGTGGCTCCAAAGATAGTGATACTAGCAATAAAGCTAAGAGGAAAACTGAGGATGATAGAGTTAAAGAAAGAAATCATTGCAAAATAAAAATCTTAAAAGCTGTTAGTGAAAGACAATGAATCATGTATAAAGGTAAACCTGTAAGAATTACTTATACTAAGAGATACTACTGATATTAAGAGATACTAGAGATACTAAGAGATACATCTGTAACCATATTACTATGAAAATGATGGCAGAACATTATCTAACTTCTCAAGGTTATATCATCATTTTAACATGTCCTGGGATATCTCTAATAACTGTGCCCTTGCTTAGCTCTTAAGATATAATCTCTAAGCTACTAATTTATAATCAGAAGTTATCCCCTGGATTACACTGCTCTAACTAGTAAGAATACATATCTCCTTATGGGATTTCCAGCCTTTGACCAGATTGTTGAGGAAATAATTTTTAAAATCAGAAATTCTATTAGAGGAATTTCAACAGTGACAGAGTTGATGTTGGCCAGCTTGTAAGGCTAGCCTGGATCCTAGTCTATTACTGTTTATATAGTATAAAAACTTTATTAGACTATATTAATTCCAATTATTTAAAAGCATGTCTATTACTTCATTTTTGTGTTCATTAAAAAAATTCCCCAAATTTTAAAGATAAAAGGAAAATGGCTTGTTAAAATTCCTGAATGGATATTTGACTAAGTCAAAGCTGTCTTAAGTAATAAAATGGAGTACAGAGCCGGGGATTTAGCTCAGGGGTTCCTCCACCTGCCTTGCAAGTGCAAGGTCCTGAGTTTGATCCTTGGTACCAAAAAAAAAAAGCAGTACAATATTATAGATGTAATTTAATTTAAATGTCCTTATTGTTTTATAAGTTCATAGCACAATGGAAATTTTAATATTTGTTTCTATCAGGTTACAAGTGTTAACCCTATAATTATGTAATAGCTAGTGTCCTTGCACTAAATTTTTTAAATTAGTGACCAATTTTGTAAGTACACAAGCATCAGAATTGATAGTCATCCCACTCAAATAATTATTCAGTTGAAATTTATTAACCATTATTGCCTTGATTGCCTGGCAGAACAAAGTGTCATAGTTCACAGTTCTATTTGTTAGGGTGAAGGGCAATACCATTTACCATGTTAAAGTAGTCTATTTTGTCCTGATTAGTGTTTAGGTTCTTCTTGTGCATTCTTTGGAATAAAATAAATTTATATATTTTCTTTAGGAATGCAAACTCAAGGTTTACATATTAATAGTATACATATATACATACATTACATATAATTGTGTCAAATATAAACACATTTTACCTCTGATAAATTTTACTTGCATTACAATTTGTTCCTGACAGCCTCATAATACTGCAATAAGGACTATCATATTTTTCCTGTAGAAATATTGAATTAAAAAATAAAACACATTGATATGTTAATCAAAGATGACCCCTTAACATTGTGAAAATAGGCCACAATGAGAGGTTTTGAAATGTCAGACATGATATAAATACAGAATAATTTCCAAGTTACTGGAATACTATAAATTAGATGATTCACTTGAAAATAAAAGATGTATGCATATGTGAAGTGTTGCTAAATGAGCATATATTTTTATCCTTGATGAATATCTATCACTTGAGCTGAAGAATTCTCTGTCTTTACCCTACTATGCTATGATATAATCCTATGAAAGACATTTATATGTGTAACATGATCATGGACCAGACACATTCAGGTCAAATTTAAAATCTAATTTAAAGTACTAAGTCAGTTAATAATGCATAGTTTTTGAATTCTTAATATTCATAAATAGAAGTGCCTTGATGGCTGCAGATGACATGGGTTATTGCAATGAATGCCCAGAGGAGCAGCTATAGCTTTACTTTTCTCTTACACCCCACTCTCACAAAAGAACAATACTGAAAACCAAATAAATAAGAATGACATTCCAATCAAGACACATTTGCAGTCTGTTTTAATCTGTTAGCAATAAGTAAATAAATCCAATATCTGTAGCCCTGTTTTTTAACAAATTGACACAATGCCTTTATTCACTTATGCTTTTCATATCTCTAGCAACATTTTTTGGGGGGGTACCGAGTATTGAACTCAGGACATTGTGCTTGCGATTCAGGCATGGTGCCACAGAGCTAAATCCCAGGCCCCTTTAGCAACATTTTGAATGAGCTCTTGTTATAAACTTGCCCCATTGATTGCTCTATTTGGCATATAAGTCTTAGGTATAGTAAGCACTAAACATTTAAATAAATATTTCAATGAATATTTTTGTCTATAAATAAGCTTATATCTCACAAGTTTTGTTAGCAGTTACTGAATTAAGAAAACTTTAAAAGTATGGATAATCCACTTTAGAAAGCTTACTCAAGGAAGTTGGTTTTGTACAATAAATGAAGCAAACATAGTCATGCATAATTGCTCTACTGATTCTCTTATTTTAAACACCTTAGTCATACTGAAAGCACTTGTTTTGATGGTGATATTGATAGTAGTAGCTTTGATGATGAAACATTTTTAAAGGGCTGACATAGTATCTTTTCTTGTCCTATTATGTTTTTCAGAGCTGTAAAACAGAAATATATATCATTTAGTCTGAAGTAGCCTTAGCAGTAAAATTTTAATTTATTCATTTATAACCAGTTCTAATTTTGAAAGCATGTATTTTTTTCTAGCTACATTACAGCAAAAAGTTTGGACAAACAACTATGTTAAGACTGGAGAAACATATTTCCAAAAACCTGGAGGCTGTCTCTTTCTTGCTCTGCCTTTGTCGCTGGGAATTAAAACCATGTTCAATAGAACTTCTTTCCGAATGCATATAATACCTGCCTTAAATTAGTATAGATGGGTAGAAAATAGAAAAGATGATAAGTATAAAATAATAATAATACTTGTGATGCTTGATATGTTTTTGACTGGTCATTGCCATATTATATATGGTATTAGAAAATGATGAAATATTGTAACTACCATGCCATCTATTTCATAGATATAACATGAAGTTTCAGCACTTCATCCCTAAAATTTTGCGGCGAACATTCCTAAGAGTCTGTTGTCTTCACTAATGACAGAGGAATAACTAGGGCTATGTGATTAGAGTATTAATTATTCGACAGCTAATGACCAGCGAAGTGAATAATGAGACTTTCCACATCTTACAGTAAATTATATGTGGTCATTTTGAATTCAGTGTCAAAGTATGAAAAGTTGGTGTGAGGTACAATGTCCACATAGTCTCAAATTAATCAAAGTCAATGATTTTTTAAAATTTCCAATAGGGACATTTTTAATATAGGCTAATTCATAGAGACACAAAACATACTAACAGTTTCTCATGGCTAGGGAAGGGGTGATTTTTAATGGGCAAGGGTTTTGATTTAAGGGTGATGACAATGTGCTAAAATTAGGTGGTGATGGCTGCACAATTCTGTGAATATGTTTTTAAAAGAAGACTTAATTGCACGTCTTAAAAAATGGATGCTATGGTACCACATTCCTGTAATTTCACACTCTGGAAGACTGAGGGAGGAGGATTGAAAGTTGGAGCCCAGCCTGGCCAACTTAGAGCCCTGCCTGGGCAACTTAGCTAAACAGGCAGACCCTATCTCAAATTGATAATAAAAAAGATGAGGGGATCTTGCTCTGTTTGAAATTCTATAAAAAGAAGACATCGAACATCTGGTAGACACTACCACAACCAAATGATTAAACTGAGCATCACTGATAGGAACATTGTTACAAGTAGCGCAACCCCATTTCATCAATTTTATCACAACAACATCATATCATCAGCCTTTTTGTTGACAGGAATGCCTCTCCTGATTTTTGCCTAGTGGAACCATTTTAAATCATTTATGTTTGAAGGTTGCCACTTAAATCCCAGAATGGAATTAAAACTCATAATGTCAGAATGCCTTTTCATTTTACTGTCACTGTAATACTTTTCTCAAGGTAAATCCTGAACCCCTAATGGTTCCTGTTTATTTGCCTTGGCACAGAGAATCAATAAACATTAACATTTTTCCTTAATGAGATAACAAGTATTGCTCTGTTTTCAAGAAGTATTTTTCTTAGGATATATTGTATTAGTATTATTAATCTCTAGCTTATTTTTTTGTTTTAATGTATTTTAATAGTATCAGTTAATGCTGTATAACTTGTGCAATGTATATATTCTGCACTACATGAAAGAAAGAATATGGTTAAGTGAATTTCATATTGGTTATTCATAAATTTAAAATTTTTTCTTACATGTTGGTTTATCTTTACTGTGAGGAACTTCTAAAATCAAATGTTATAGTCTTCAGCAAGCTAATTTAAAAGGGGAAAAATGAAACAATATACATCTACTTAAAATATATTGTGATCATCATAGCACAGCAATATATGCACACTCATGTTTATAGCAGCACAACTTTTAATAGCTAAATCTTGGGAATGGCTCAGATGCCTATCAACAGATGACAGGATAAAGAAAATGTGGGATTTGCATACAATGGAGTGCTAATCTTTCAGAAAGAAGGATAAACTTGAAACATTTTTAGGTAAATGGTTGCACCTTGAGACCTTACTTTTAAGTGAAATAAATCAGACATGCATGTTTATAGATAGCATTGTTTCACTTGTGTGAGAAACTAAAAGCACAAATAGGACCCAAATGGGTGCTAGATATTGGGAAAAAGAAAATATACAAATGGGAATGGGAACAAGGGAGGAGGGAAGGCAAAGGGAAGAAAGTGTAAAGGAAAAGCAAACAAAATAGAAAAATAGAAACCTTTTGTAAATGAGGGGAAGAATAGTTGAGGGAGGGGAGTGAAATGAGGAGCAAAATCCACACACCCAGATATATTTTGTAGGTACAAATTCCCTATAATGATTGTGGCATTATGTGTATCAAAAGCGTACTAATAAAATAATTTTTAAAAATGAAGTGTAAAAAAAATCTATTCCCTTTATTTTCTTTTTTCTTACCTCCTGTGATCTCTGTTCAAACAAAAGTTACAATTTTGTTTTCATAATGGGATAATGATGGTATCTTTGTGTAAAATGTTACTTAATAAAAACATTGGTGTAAGTAAATTAACTCCAAGGCCACTTAAAGTGAGAACTTTTATGAATCTTTTTGCACCCGCACAGCTACAATTTGTATTCTGTGGCACTTTTGACAGGTGGAATTTATTATCTCTGTTTAAAAAGAAGTATCTTAAAACTTATAAGATAGCTATAATAGGTATTTAACAAAAACAAATTATATGGAAAGAAAATGTGATGAATAATTTGTATGTGCATCATTTAAGGCATTTGAGATACTTAGAAATATATTATTGTATTAATTGCATCTGAAAATTTAATTTTATTGAAATACAATTTTTTTCTTTTAGGTTTTCACTCCCAGTTACTGCAACAGCAGAAAACTGTATTCTTACTATTTATCCATATTTGGCAACTCATCTCGATAAGCACAATATAATCTTAAAAGATGGTAAGTTACATATGATATATTTCTCTCTAAGTCTCACTGTATAGGTTCTTGTAGTCCAAGACTAACATCTATAAATAGAGGGAGTATAAAATTAACAAATGTTTATTAAACATCTTCCATATCAAAGAACTAACTTATCATTAAGAGTAGAGTTTGACTGTCTGTTAATTCTCAAATTTGACAGTGTAGTGGAAGATATATTAAGTATTATGAAGAATATTGAATGAAGAGCTGTGAGTCAGTTGAACTGTTGAGACTGTGGTGGTGATACCGAGGTTATTGCTGATGGTGGGCATCTGGAAAGGCTGTACGGAAGAGATGACATTTGTGTAGAGCCTGACAAATGATGGTCTTCAACGGGTTGGTTTGAGAAAATGACTATAGAGCCAAAGCATAGGAGCAAAAGTAAAAGCCTGAGGGCAAATACAAGGCAGGAGATAAAAGTGTGGGGCTAAACCCTTTATTCTATAATACTAGCAACTTTCTGTGATTTTAAAATATCAGGGATTCAAAGAGGGATTAGTTATTGGGATATGAGTTGAATTCGGATGGGACAGAAAATAATAGACCAACTTGGAATTGCTACAGAGGAAATTATGAGAGAAATTAAGACCAAAGGATGCACAATTACAGTCAGGAGTAATACTCTGAAGAGATATATTGTGAGTAGATCACAATAATTTGAGTAGAGTTTATAATGACATTGCAGCATTGTTTTAGGATTTTTTGTGCTCTCGCCACAAAATTGATAGTTATGTGAAGCAATACATTTGTTACCTAGATAGATTTAGCCATTACACAATGTATATAAAATTTAAAACAACATGCCATATACAATAAAACATATAAAGTTAACTGTCAGTTAAAACTTAATGAATTATGCCTGAGGATATAGCTCAGTGGTAAAGCACTTACATAGCATGTGCAGAGCCTTCGGTTCCATCTCTGGCCCGGCAAGAATGTAAAAACTGACAAAAAATAATGGGTTAGTGTAGAAAGACAGACAATAAGTAGAAGAAAGAAGCAAAGAAAAATAGAAAACCCAATGAAGAAGACAAACTAGAGACACAGTACACAGAGGAGGAATATTAATGGATTAAGTCCCAAAGAAATGAAAGGATAGAGTGGGAAAAAGTTTTATCTGTATAAATTGTCAAATCCGAAATTCCAGTGCTGAGTTGGAGACTTTCTGTGTTTCAACCATTTTTCTCATATTCTCCTTTGCTTCTTCAAATATTTATTACTCCTCTGAAACCTGTTCAATCCTGTTCTTTCTTAATCTCTGAGAAGGAGTTTTTTTGTGTTTTTTTTTTTTTTTTAATTTTCGGAAGAAACAGGAAACATCAGGCAATAACACTCTGAAGTTGCAAATACCAGCATGTATTGAAACTTTCATTTCTCCTTTTATTCCATTTACTATACCAGAATTCACTACTCTCTCTGGCCTTAGGCCATTCCTTTATCACATTACCTAGGGACCCTACCAAAGCAAATAACCTTACTTACCCTTGCTTGTCAATGTCTGCCTCCTTAGCTGCTTTGAGTAAGTTTTCAAGAGGACAGCAGGGAGAATGGAAACCATATCTCCTTAGGCTAATTTCAAACAGAGAAAAGGGAAAACTTAGGCCATAATTCTTATTTTTCCCAAACTTACCATCAGATAAATCACATCCCAGAGATAGGGAGGAAAGTAGGAGAGGAAAATAAGCCAGTAGAATACCTCAGCTCCCTTTAAGAGGAAAATAATTTCAGGGATGTGCAGGAAGCCTTACTTGGTTACTGGGCATAGGTAAAACTGTTGGCTACCCCCCACACACCTGTTTGAACCCTCTAGGGGCTTCCACATACCATATTTCTATGAGTCTCCTCTAGCTTCTCTGACTAGCTCTTCTAAGCATCTTTCATGTATTTCTCTTCCTGTTTCTACAATCTTGCTTCAGTTGAACTTTGAACCCTGTTCCATTCTCCCTTTCATAACTTCAATTGCAATTAATGGCCTGTATATCCAACCCGTATCCCTCTCGAGATTCAAGAATTCAGAATTAGACGAGGTCGGGACATCTTTCACTGAATTCATATACACTGAAAGCAACATGACACTGAAAAGCAACATGACCCAAACTAAACTGCTGTACCTGAAATTCTTTCATCCTTCTGTACACCCCATCTCTGTAAATGATGTACCTAAAATCCATCAGGTTTCTAGTCCAGAAATCTGACTGTCATCCTTGACGATAGCTTTTTTCTCACACTGCCCTTCCAGGTCACCAGTTCCCTTCGCTTTGCCTTCTAAATGCCTCTCAAATGCTTTTCATTTCTTTTTTGCTCTGCTGCTACTACACACATTCCAACTGCCATCATCTTCTCCGTATCAGTACAGGTTTCTAAACTGTTCTTCTGTCTCCTCTGATATTTCCCCTTTTCATGAAACATTCTTCACACTGTATCCCAGGAATGTTTATATATTGGAAATTAAAATCTTACAGTTTCTAGGCATAAATTGCTTTTTGGAATGTCATTGCTAGTAGGATGAGCCATATAGAACCCCATTTGGCATGACCCACCCAGTGGCTCCATTCTCATTTCTAGAAATCTCTCCTTCTATTCTGAAGCCCCATTAAGCTGTGAATCATACAAGCAGCAAGAACCTTCTTGGTGATCTTTCCCATGACGGAAGCATTCTCCCTACCAAACTGTATATTTCCACACACTTAAGAAGATTCATACTTCTGCATGGAAGAGGTTTGCTTGTCTCTGGTGTAGCCTATTGGCTCTGTGCGATTCCCCTGTCCTGGCCTTTACCACATTTTGATGTAACATGCCTATGCCTATCTGTATTCCTTTCTATGTACTGGCATCTTTAAAGTCTGTGAGAGCAGGAATTATTTCTATCCTTTTCAATTATGTGTCTACAATGCCTTATGTAGTGCGTGGTAAATAAAGGGTACTTATTTAATATTGTAGACTAGGTTGTCTGAATTTTCAAATAGCAGTAGGAAGGCATATCTTAGCTATATATGTTCATAAGAAAATGGGTTATGGATATTCTAGTACATTCTGAGCATCAAAATATTCTTTTAAAGCAATTTATGGTATAGTTTATTTGAAAAGATGAGGGTGCTAGAGAGGAAGAGAGAGATCTCAAAATTTTAACATATATGGTCAAATTTCTAATTCTAAGTAATATTACATTTTACAATGTTCTAATATACCAAGGCAAGTGAGAATTTCAAATAATAATATAAATGAATAACAATAGCTCAAGTGCCAGAAACCTGGATGGAAATTCTCTTTTGTGTTCCATCCCTATTATTTTGTCAAGGGGTTTTATTTTAATCTCTAAGATAATCAAATTTATTATTTTATAAAACAACATGCATATTGCAAGAGAGTAGCCGGATACTATTTTATCTATTTCAAAAAGCTTTTGTGAAGACTTATTGACTATAAATACCTAGAATATATTATTATTACTAGGGTTTCATTATGATTGCTCTTATAACTGATTGTGATTGCTTTATTGCTTATATTTTTGCATAATACCCTTTCATATTAATGTTCTCCAGTTACCTAGAGTTCTACTAAGTGCTTTACTTTTGTTGTTTCGTTTAGTCTTTCCAACAATTCTGAGTTAGATATCCTTGTAGATCTCACTTTACAGATTATGAATATGATTAATGGAAAATTTGAGCAGCTTGTTCCAGGGAATACTAACAAGATTTTTGAGACCTCAAAATTTACATATTTAGCTCCTCTTCTGTAGAGGATTATGTGTTCAGTAAAGGTGAAAGCTTAAAATATATTAAGCATATCAAAAATTAAGACAATATTTTTTTTTCAGCTTTAATTGAGTTTATTGGTACATTTTAGGGATACAGTACAGTTACATTCATTGTTGGGATCTTGTACCTCTACATGACAAGTCTTGATTCTCATTTTTTCCCCTTACCTCTGCCCTCCCTTCACCCCCTCCTCCCCTCCCCATCTACAAACACTTTATTTTCATCTTTTCATTCTCTCACATTTTTTTCTTTTCCCTTTTTACTCTTCCCCTACCCATCCCACCTTCCCTACACCTTTAGCTCCTTTCTTCCCATTTCTAAATGTCAGTAATCTTATTAGAATCTTATGCATTGTTGCAGATTATTCACACCAGGGAAACTATT